CGGGGTGTTCCGACGTGGTGAAGGCCTACCCATGGCCTCGTCGGGACATCACCAACCTCGTCGGCAGCGAGCACCTTCTCACAACAGTCGTCATGGTGATGACTATGACTGTTACAGCTGACGAGCTGAGAGAAGGACGCCATGGGCAGAAGTTGAAAAAAGACAAGAAAAAAGAAAAAGAACAAAAGAACAAAAGAAAAAAGAAATAAATCACAAATAATTTAATTACAGAGGAAGACAAGAAAATAACATCACAAATCCTTCCAGACGTGATCCCTGCAGCGGCAGCAACGTGAACAATACTACGGCGGCAACACGACGACTTCTACAACACAAAAAAACGAAAATTATAAAAATCCTACCAACCCGTAGAGTAACGAGGGTCCGAACCTGGGTTTTCCCAATACGGTTCAAATGGTCGCAAGACCGGGACTCTGCCAACCGGTTTATGGTTGTACCGTAGTCAGGAGCACTACGCGTCCTCGCCTTGTAACATGCTGTCAAAATCGAAAAACATGTTAACTACCAAGCAAGGCTTCTGTATGTAAAGAATATCTCATGAGTACGAGGGTGATACCGGCGAATATCAATCCCGACTGCGAAGCAGAAGGGATTGATATGAGGGTACGGTATCACCCGAGCTACGAGGGTGATATTCTACTTATCACATATGACCCTACGAACCTAACACGTACGACCGTCATATCCTGCTTTTCACATGCTACATGTGTACATCGAGTCCATAAACATAAACATGATACTACAATTGTAGTACTACCCACTACTGTACATGTACTGTAGTAGATTTGACCCTGTGAACTGAATAGGACATCACATTGTGTGGAGACCCTCTCCGATGCCACACCCATTCACCCCCGTCTGACACATCATTCGCGGGACAGAAATATTCAAAGCTTCGAATTGTTTTAGTTGAAGTCTAAGCAGAAGTGAAAGGACATCAATGTAAAAGAGTCCCAGGAAATAGAGATAGAAGAGAAGATGATGAAAATGAAGCAATATACTGCACTGTATCTGAGAATTAGCGCTGCTCACAGGCTTTGACATCATGAACGTGGATGTGAACAGCGCCTGCGAAGTTTCCGGAGAAGATGAACTTTGCGCTGTTCTCCGAACTGACACACGATGAGGCTGGCGAAGCTGGTGGTACTTGTGGCCTTTCCAAGGCTTCCAATTCAGCCGGAGTTGACTCCTGCAGAGCTTTATCAACCTCCGCATTGAGCAGGCGAGCTGTAGCAATCTTATCTTGCTCGCTAGGCTGCAAGTAAGCTGTTAGGCACTTGTATTTCTGAACCCCTGAGACACTGTGATATGTGATGACGAACCAGACAAGGTAGGTGAGATGCTCGGGGTTGTTTTTCCAGTCTTAGTCCGGTATACCCTTTCCTTGGTTATGTACATACAATTATCCCTTCACTGTGCATAGTTCGAAGCTCCCCCCCCCCCCCACACACACAATGGTTGCCTCTTTGCTTTGTCATACCACAACCATTCAACGCGGTGAACCCCTCGATAGGCGATTTGCCTTTGAGTCATCCTAATAACTTGAGTTATTATTACCATAATGTTACGCTTGAGGTCTTGTAGCTGGCGGTGAATAGCACTGCGGAATTGCAGCAAACTGTTCTTGGAGTACGAAAGCTTGTTGATCTGCCTAAATTCCACATACGCATGCTTTAGGATTGAGGCAAGGTTGGTAGCTGAGATGGTTTTCAGATCACATTTTTTCTTATAGACTGTACACCAAACATCCGAGACACGTTGGTGGCTCGCTTCGTGTTGGTTGAAACACGGCTTTCTCGGATTCTGTCGATCTCATCCTCCGACACTTGCACAAATCGTTGAGACGTTTCTTCTACAATACTTGGCTCGGATGTTACACGTTTTTCCGTGGTGGTCTTCTCCAGTACTTCGCCATTCGACAAAGTTGCAGTTGTGGTTGATGATCAAGAAAAATCAGACACTTCGGCTAGTTCGCTGGGTGATAAAAAATTGAAATAATTTGCAGCAGCCTCTAAAAGCTCTTGATCTTCCAAGTCACCTTCACAAACGCCCAAATCAAACTCGGCTAGCCATTTTTCTCACGAGGACACGATAAGGACAAGCTTTAGAAGAAGAATGGTAAGTTTCTGTTTGTGCTTACCCTCGGCCTTGTCATTCTTCATGGTAGGTCAACTTGGATGCGTACTATAGATGGAATTGTATATGTAAGGAATTCATTGTTGTCACTAGCCCCTCCACATAGACCCCCTCCCACAATCCCAAGCCAGCTGGCCGAAGGAGGGCTGGGGGGGGGGGGGGGGGGCTGGCGACGGCAGTGAAATCCTAAATATGCAGTTTCAGCTACAGTACGCATTCGAGTATGTGAGTACCAATGGATACTGTACTAGGTACGCAGCCGGGTGTGATATGGAGCAGCAGGGGTGATATGGAGCAGCAGGGGTGATATCGGCCTATATCACCCGCCTAGGAAGGGCAGTGATTGGCCCATTCCTAGGAAACGGTCACCTGATATGTGATAAATATCTACTCTTCTTGTGTGTCATCTTGATGTCACTGATCTCTCGCACGGCGCTTCTTACAAAAATATTATTGTATTGTAGTTCTTTTCCGTTTTGTTTTCAAATTTTTTTGTCATTGCAGCATTCGCTTTTTCGTTTGTTCAAAAAACAGTTTGAGCTTGTAGTGTGTTTGGTGAAGAAGGAGGAGGCCTGCAGGTGGATCGTACGAGAGAGCGTACTCATAAAATAGTTGTCTTTATCTTAGGTTGAGGCCTCTCCTGCAAGATGTCTCTCTGCAGGAGAGTGCTGCAGCAATGCTTGCAGCAGCCGCTTCTAAGACATGCAGCGTCCCCTGTATTCGTTCGGTATAACCAGTCTCTCCCAAACCGGATGGATAGGCATTTCATTGATGAGGAGGAATTGTTCAGGAGAATGTACGCGCGCGAGTTTCTGACTACTGCTGATATGAATCCAACTGAGAGGCCGAGAGTAAGACGGTTTGGTATTGTAATGTGTCAGTCGGGTTACATCAGCGAAAAGAATAACCTTGCCATGAAGACAGTACTGAAACGCTTGGGCAAAGCCGAGGGCTTCATAGACTATTTAAAGATGGAGATTCAAGTCACCAAGAAGCCACCTGGCAAGCGTATGGGTGGTGGCAAAGGAAAGAAGGCATACAAGGTATCCTTTGTGCAGCCCAACAAGATGATCTATGAGTGGGATTGTGACGACCGGATTGCTGCAGAGAAGTATGCTCGGCGATTGCGCTACCTAACACCTCTGCGTCTCAAACTGGTCATGAATGACCTGCCTCCGCTTGAAACGCTGCAGGAAAAAGTCCGCATGAATGTTCCTGTAAAGTTGGAGGAATTCAAGGGGGTGGTGAAGGAGCTTGCCAAGAACAAGGACAAGAAAAACCTCAAGCCAACTGGACCTTTTGATCTCAAAATCCGAGGACAGTTCTAGTTGAATCATTCTTAAATTTACTATCCTAGTTTCAATTGGATTGCCCGCTTGCCCAGTTTTGTCAACGGTGGTAGGAAACATTGCTGCATGCGTGCCTCACTGCAGCAGCCTGGGCTGCAACTGTAGTCCGCTTTGGGCATTTCCCATGCAAACTACCTTGAGATTTTTTTTAATTTTTGGGCCGCAATCATTCCCTTAACTATATCAATGTCCTGATCTGGCACGGTACGACTATGGTGCAATTTGGGTGGGTTTTGCCTAGATCCATGCTAGTAAGGGGCTGCATGCGCTGGAGTGACTATGCCCGGTATAGGTGCACACCATTTCACCAGAGTGTTTATGCAATGTTAGATTTTCTGACGAACGTTTCCACCCCACCGCTGTCTGCTGCATGATCTGCTGTTGGTATTCAACCAGCAATGTTGTGGATTGAGCGAAGTCTAGGTTATAGAGTGATGCCAACCTGGATAAGTGAATTGTGCACTTACCAGTGCCAAACGTCTGAAGCATTGGTGCACGAAACAGTAGTACGGTATGCAATGAGAGCCACGAACCAGTGCTTTTGTTTCCAGACAAATCAGATGAAAAAACCATTCTGCAGCTGGTATGCCAAGTATATTTTCCCAGCTTATCACAACCTCGAGGGACATCTTGAGGCGGGAGTGGTGTTACCAGTAATAATATACCCAGGCCCTGCACTGAATACTCCTGAAAATTGAAAGTACAGTCAACTTTGCGTATAACGACACTCGGCCGGGCATCAGAAAAGTGTCCTTATTCGCGAAGTGTCGTTATACCCGAAGTCTCATTATATGCATACAGGTAGAATGGATTTTGCTCTGGGCATGGAAATTCTGTCCTTATTCGCGAATTGTCGTTATATCCGCAGTCGTTATCAGCAAAGTTGACTGTACAGTTTAGCAAGTAAAATTCAAGCCAAAGTACACTTTGACGGGGTCTTTCAGAGCCGATTTTGATGACATCATGCCAATGTGCTAGGGAGAACGTGGTTGCAAGACGGCTACGTCGAGTGCACTTCTGTGTAGCAAGTATAACATTGGTCCACTGATATCACTCAACACAACTGCGTGTGCTTGTCTACCTGCTTCTCCTCTCGTGCATATGTCGCTGGATCATGGGTGCAGGCTATTGGGAGTGTGGAACCAGTACTGTGAATACACCGTGGCATGTGCAGGCTTAACCCTTTGTTAATTAACTCAGAGTGTGCAATCACTCGTACACCTGTAGGTAGCGACTCCCTTGTATAGCCCCTGCAAAAACTAAGATGCTTCATCAAGGATACCAAGACTGCAAGAGTACATAACCGGGGGGGGGGGGGGGGGTTATGACTGTACTCTTGCGGATACATACAGCTAAAAGGTTGACCCAGGAGTCATGATAGTGCATAGCCAACGGGACAAGAAACCGCCATGTTCTGACTTGCAACTATGATCTTTTCCACTGCCACTGTGCGTTATTACAAGCCGCAGCCAACTGTATTTGCACCTACATGTACTTGGTCTGGATACTGATATGTGCACCAAACATATGATTACCGGTACACCTGATGCAAAGCTCGGCCACCGGCTGATGAATGCTAAATGCAGAAATGATTCAAATGAGCAGTATATTGATTCCACTTTTAAACTGAATGCTTTTCAAAAATGATCAAAAAATACTAGTGCTTTTGCTTGAACGGGGCATGGTTCTGTTTCGTTTGTTAACCCGTGACATGGTGACATGGTGCTCTAATCAATAAAACATAACTCATACTGTAACATGCCTATAATACACACGCACACACACATACACACACACACACACACATACACGCACACACACACACATACACACACACACACATACACGCACACACATACACACACACGCACAGAAGCAAACACGCCCGCATGCATCCACGCACACACTCTCTCTCTCTCTCTCTCTCACACACACACACACACACACACACACACACACACTCGGGTAACTAGTGCATGCGAGGAATATGGATGTGTTCAAGAGTTGCGGTAAATCTTCTTAGCGCGTGTGTTCGCGTGCTGTATGCGCTCGTCGTTCATCTCCGCCTTGTCGTTGATACGATCGAGCTGCACATTCTGTCGCTCGAGCTCATTGCCCATATCCATGGCCATGTTCTTCAGATTGCTGACCGCGTTGCTCACAAGGTCCATGTTCTCGTCCATCTCGTCCTCGCGTGCATCATTGGTGATCCGCTGGATGTTGCCACCTTGCGACTGCTGCGCCCCGCTGCCACGGCCAGAGCCACTGGGTCCACCAGACCTTGGCTGGCTGGACACCACCTCGTCCTCTTTCTCGTACGCCCCTCCAGAGAATGCCTTGCCATAGCGCGGGTCTCTCTCGATGCTGCGCGTGCGACCACAAGGGCATAAACACAGTCCGCAGCACTTCTCCATTTGCGTCAGGTTCCGCTCAGCCTTCTTCATGTCAGCATTGATATTGTCCAGACCCGTCTCGACGCGATCCAGCTGCTCGCCCTGCGCATCCAGCTCCTCCAGCGTCTTCACGCCGACCTCCTGCGTCTCCTGGGTCAGCGCCACCATACGACGTGTCGACTCCAGCGTCTCGTCCGTCAAGCGATTCGACTTGTACTGGATGTTCTCCAGCTCGCGTCTTGCACGATCGTCCTCGCTAGCGTACGCCATGGTCGTCGTCGATTCAGCTCCTTTCAAGTAGTCACGGCACTGCTCCGTCAGCCCTCAACTAATACTCCTTTCCTAGTCCGGAGGGCCTCGTCACTTACCTCCTTGTACAGCAGCGGAAACTGGAGGAGCAATTGTTATTTTCGTCCAAAGCAAAGTCTAAAAAATGCTTCGCTGCTCGTCCACTGACCGAGCTTATTATTAGTGCAATGCTTGCGCGCTGCGTCAGATCAGGTGCACCACCTCACGAGCCCGCAACGGAAATCAGCTGCATGCAGTGACTGTCGAACGCCCACTATCTGGCCGGGTCATACTCTTGCTAACTGCCAAAACTGGCCATAGACTATGCATAGCACTAGTATGAGTATGGTGCAGACTGTAGTATGAGTATGACTGAGTGTCACTATCACTGATAGTGATAGTCCAACGCCACAGTCCTTTTTATCCGCGATCTCAAGCGTAGATCTACTCGAGTCGTAGGATCTACCCGACTGAGGCGGCGCACCTGGTTAGCACTGGGACACATCTGGAGTACAGAACTGCGAGGACCGCTATGCTATCGTTGTATCATAATTACATTGTACTTTCTGTGTAGCCTGTAGCCTAGTAGTAGTACTATTAGTGTTGGTCTACAAATCAATTATGGTCAACCGGTGCTAACACGATCTAGTGACATCTACATAACGATGCCATTGGGGTAACCGAGGCAGTGACTCCAATGCCACAGTACAAGCAATTCTAGCCTACAATACAATGCATTGTATAAGTAGCATTGCTCGTGGAATGGGCATTGCTGTGATTGTGACACACATACATGCAATCATTGTCAGTGTGATGGGAAGTGTACTACAGTCATCATGTACAGGACAGTTATGTTGTAGACTGCATGAGGCGGAGCCCAAAGCCTAGCTCATAACTAGTACATGTCAAGTAGAACCTGCAATTATGTAGATGACATTCAACAGCCTACATCCTCGGCCTTTGCATACCTGCACGAGTGCCATAAGCTGATCCACTTGGTACTAGCACCAAGGATTTGGGTAATGTTGCGATGTTGCAACTACATGTACAGTGAAACCTCGTTGGGAAGAACACTTAGTACCATTCACCATTTGAAATAGGAAGAACACTGATAAGACAAATGTTGTTAAGAAGAACTAGTATTCGTAACTCCATTGCCGGGATAAATCACTGTGTATCCACTGGGTATAACATAGGGATAAGAAGAACCGTCCCGTTATTGCAAACAAATATCATCGGTCCCTTGATGTTCGTCCTAAAGAGGTTTGACTGTACATGTACATGTATGTACTTGAACACTACAATACACATTGTCATGTAGCAGTCTAAGAAAGTGCATTGTACATGTACATTTCAGGGCCCTAGCACCCCATCCCGCTGGACCTTATTTCGAAAAAGTTTATCCACCCAATTCATGCAAAACGGGGGGGGGGGGTTGTCGTGAACAAAGCCAAAGTCATCAGTTTCTGGTCAAGTATCCCATTGGCTGGACCACCTCAAATCCCTGTGCTATGCCCTGTAGCACTATAGGCCGTAGTCATATCTCACTCAACTTACAATTGCATGTATGAGTTTAGTACGCTGCGAGGTAGGGATACGCAGGGCTCCTTATTGCTTCTGAAACTGCCAGCACTCTGATCTAGGTGAGAGGGGAATGGAGGGCCAGCCGGCAGGAGAGGGATATATCAAAGTATTGTGTGACTGAGTGTCAAAATGATGTACATGACTGTACTGACAGCAGGTGGGACTCCTTGTATTGCTAGCCGGGTTAAGTTTCACTGAGGGGTCTGCCAGTAAGTGATTCCGGATACTACCTGAACCATTGCAGCCATAGCCGTCCCACGCGGCATGCAATAGCCGTCAAGGTTGCATGAGCAGTATGGCCTTTGTAAGTACTTGTAGTTGCACCATGCGGCTTGCATTTTACATACTAGTAGCACCATGCATTCCAAGCCGCTATTTCCTGGGCTGGCTGCAGCACCATGCTACTATTGCGGGCATGCATGGCATGAACTGAGTCACTCCAATTTCAAAGGAAGTCTGATGCTGTCAGGCTAGAAGTGACCCAAGTCACTGCTAGCTGCAATCATGGATTCTTATCAATAATAATACCATCATGACTTACCAGCCTGGCTCAGAAGAAATTTTAAACAGCATGCCCAGCAAAACCAGTCTCCTCCATAAACCTTGATGTCACTGTTTCAAAATCGACAGTCAATAGTCCAGACTTCAACACACACATACATGTACACACACACACACACCACACACACACACACACACACACATACACCACACACACACACACACACACACACACACACACACACACACACACACACACACACACACACATACACCACACACACACACACACACACACACACACACACACACACACACACACACACACACACACACACACACACACACACATACACACACACACACACACACACACACACACACACACACACACACACACACACACACATATATATATATATATATACGTGACACACGCATGCACGCATGCATGCACACACACACACACACACACACACACACACACACACACACACACACACACACACAGGGCTGTCAAACCAACTTTGAATATGGCGGCAAAAAATGGATTGAACATAAGGCAGCCCAAATAGCCCTACCTGGGGCATAAGGTGACACACACTGCGATGACAGGAATCATAACAACTTTTAAAACTGCCCTCAGTATTTATGTTTCAAGTGTCAGCAAAGTGCCTGTCCTTCCAGGATAATAGAGGCACCAGGTTCTCCAGAACAAACAATGACATGATGGCCTACAATCATGTAGCTACCTCTAGGAATCATGAGTACTGTACTATAAGTAAGTATAACTGATATTACCCAAGCCCAATCTACTTTAGTCAGCTAGTACTGACTGCGGACAATAGTTATAGTCTGATGGTATATAGGCCGGACTAGTCACAGTCCTGACTAATCAGCCCAGGGCTTTCATGTAATACAAAGTATTTTATCAGCACCTGGACACGGTTGACACCACTTCAACTCGATTAGTTGAACCATAGCCATGGGGACTTCCCCTTCTGGTCTGCACTCACATGAAGTGGTACGGGTACCGTGGTTGACAGCACAAAGTCCACAATACAACACTAAGACTAGTAGTACATGTACATGTAGTAGTATTGTAATTAATTATTTAGCCCGCTGTGAAGAACAGGTGATCAGTGTAAGCCGTATGCATGTTCAATGGAGGTCATTTGATGTATAAAAAGTCATGTAGAACCTGATAAGGATATCCTGGGGTGTCCCACCAAAAGCAAGCAGTACCCAAGCTAATACACATTATTATACCAGGGAGTAGTAGTAGTAGTAGTACATGTACATGTACATCAGTGTACAACGGTGTACAGCACCGTCGGCTACCCACACTGCATCCTGGTTATGTTGTAGGTGCCCTAGCTATAGCTAGGTCTCACTCAGTCATTTAGTGAGTACAATGTATATACATACAATGATACAGGCTCTACAGTACTGGGGGTGGGGAGAAGGGGCCTAGGTAATGACTAATGGTGCAGCCTACGGTACAGAAGAACTATACTTCAGTACTAATCCCGTGGCAATGAATGAGGCATGATTACTGAGGAGATGATGACCCCCGCATGCACCATATGCAGCTTCCTTCTTGTACCGGCTTTAGACTATTAGAGCCCTGACTTTTTGCCACTGCTCCCTTTGTCCCAGGCTCCCCAGTCACAGTCCCTATTTCACAGTATCCCCGGCACTGGGCCAGGCTCAGCGGCATGCCCAGTAATAGCCCCATTTTACTGATTCCTGGGGCTCCTCAATACAGCCCCCCCCCCCCTTCGCTGAGTCGCAAACTCTCACCCTGAGTCACAGCCCCCCCCCCTCCCCTCGTCATGAATGCCCATAGAGTGTCCCTGCACTGTGGCTATGATCTGTCCTGGGCCCAGGACTTAGCCTACACGACATCACAAACTACAAGTATCAAGTGTCTGATAACCGAGCTCATTGAGAGCTTATTTACTCTTGGCATCATACTGTATAGGGTGCACTGAGCAAGAGTGTGTGACCCCCAGTGCATGATACAGTGCTCCCAAAGTGGAGTTGCACGGTCAAGTTGGGAGGTAATGACTCTTGGCGCAAGACACAACCGTGTTTTCAAATTCATATGGCGCTGTGATTGGTCTGGGGTCTCTATGAAGGGAGCAGAGACAAAAAAGGAGCTGAACGAGGAGCTACCATTATCTGGAACTGTGAGAAATCGGAACTGGGATAGAACAGTCGCCCACTGAGACTGAACTATGGTTGCCTCGCCAGAACCAGGGGAGTCAAGACTCTGAAGGAAGCAGCGGCAGGAGAAGGGATGTTGAAATTGTGAGATTGATTTTTTAAGTATCCCCGGGCTTACTACATATACATGTAGTAAATCATGAATCCATTGGATCCAGTCAACCCTCTTCCCAGGGTTGCTTGGATCCAAATCCTATGGATCTGGATCTGCATCTGGATCCGACCGAACAATCATAGCCCATCACACCTGAAACCCGAGCCTGAGGTTGTTACGGTATTTTACGACTTCTTGCCTGAACCCCCTCAAAACTCTGACTGTGTGACCTAACTTTAGTACACCTGTGGCACAGTGTACAGTACGGTGATGATCAGGGAGTCATACAAAATTGGGTTACACGATCGGGGCCGACTCATCCCTGGTAGCAATTGTTTTAAGTCAAATGTGAATACAGGGCTGGGCCCGTCAGAATTAATGGATCAAATACATGTACATTGTAATAGGCCCCTTGTCACACGGACTTTGGGGGTGGGACAGGCATGGAAGGGGGTCCGGGGTCCTCCACGGTAGGGGTCAGCGCGTAATGCTCGGCTTTTCACTATTTAATGATAGCTTGCATACCGTCCTACCGGTAGGACCCAAGAAATCGAGCTGCAAAAGTGCTTTTGGTTGAGAAATTTTTTGAAATAATTGTTGAGATGAGGTCTTTGTCAGGCAAAGTAATGGCGCAAAATGCAAGGCTATGTCCAGTGCATTGCGTATGCGCAATTTTATCGATTGCCAAAATAAAAATAAAAATAAATAAATTCGACGGGTTCGCGTACCGGGCAGGTCAAGAACAAGGAGTCGTGCAACTCCCTGGTCAAGAACCACCTTTCCGCTTCCGTGGGACGCCACCACCCCATGATCAGGCGTCAGATGCGGCTCCTTAACGGTGGGGGAGGATAGATCAGATCCACCAACCATAAGC